GGTAGAAACAACCGGAACATATTCCGTCAACACTTGGAGTGGAGTACGAAATTCTACAACCCAGGAGGGCATGCGATTTATAACATACACGGCATAGGTGATGGCGTTTGGCCAAAAACTCTTAGGCACGGACCCACCAATAAGCAATGCACGAGCAGTTTCCAAAATATGACGGTTTTTTCTCTCAGCTACCCCATTATGTTGTGGGGTATATAAACACGTTGTCTCATGAAGAATTCCTTGATCACGGAAAAAAGTAGATAGCTCAAAGTTAACATATTCTCCCCCATTATCAGTATAAAGAACCTTAATAACGGAGGAATATTGTGTAGCCACCATCTGAGAGAAAGACCGAATAATCATGCTAACATCACTTTTATGTTTCAACAGATAAACCCATGTCATACGAGTGCAATCATCAACAAATGTAACAAACCATTTAATTCCCGAAGTAGTACTAATAGGGGAAGGCCCCCACACATCAGAGTGTACGAACGCAAATGGAGAAGATGTTCTATTCATACTTCGAGGGAATGAAGCACAATGACTTTTGGCTAAAATACATACTTCATATTTCAATTCTGAGTCTTCAATACCACTGAACAAATCAGGTAATATATATTTCAAATAACCAAACAATGCATGCCCCAAACGACGATGCAATAACAATACCTTTTGTAGATTACTATTACGTGACGCATGAACCAAATTAGCTCTTCCAGGAACCACATCATCCACATAATATAGCCCCTTTCTCTTGGTGCCACGCCCAATGATCTCATTTGTCTGAATATCCTGAAGCAAGCAAAATAAAGGATACATTAATACAACACAATCCAATTGTTCAGTGATTTGAAGTACCGACAATAAGTGATGGGACAATGACAGAACCAATAAACAATTTTGTAAGGGAAGAGAGGGTGTAAGAGACACTGTTCCCGCTCCAACAACAGCAATAGAACCATTACCAGTTGCCACACACTTTCTATGAGGACGTAGATTAAAACAAGGTTTTATCATACGTCATATAATCTGTTGCACCATAATCTAAAAATCCAACCTGCATTCGCCATTGTAATAACTCACGAGACAGTAATACACGACAATCACAACACCACACCAATTATGGAACCATACGCCGAAATCAATCAATTACTCTAACAATTGTTGCAATTGCATTGCAAAACACTACACCTTTTTGTTTTCCCCCGTAAATATGTATGAAACCAACAGCAAAGCACTACACATCAGTTGCTTTTCTGCAAAAAACGCAGCAAAAGGAAAAACAAACTACAATATCCCAACAATCACGGCAGAGACACCATTGTCTTTCTGTAGAATCGCAGCAAGGAACAAGGGTGCATATCCTCCAATACGACCAGCAGCAGTACAATACTGCGATACAGAACACACGACACAACAATACAGAACACGACAGCTACACACAAGGGTTTGGCTTGCTGCAAAGATGTAGCGACAAACCAGAAACCTTGCTGCTTTCCTCTTTGCAATACACGGTATGGTGGGATTTTTTTTATAGGGTACGGTAGGCTCTGATGCCAAATAGAAATTTACGACTCAAAACTTTATTGTATTACATAGAGGAAAATATATATAAGATACAATCCTTGTTCTACAGGGTAACAATAAAGGACTCACAAACCCTTCCTAATAAAGGATTCCTAATATTTACAATATATTTACATGCCCTTTTTACAAAACCCCTCACGGCAACAGATTGGACAAACTCTTAGTGTAGTCCAGTGTTTGTTATCATGTGAGACTGTCATTAATGAGATTACCTGGGACTCGCCTAAACTAATTAAAGGAGTTGATAGATGTTCTTAGCAAGAGTCCCCAAAAAACCATGGCACCAGTTATGATCTGCTTCTTCCTATTCGTGTTGCTCTACTCGTGCCCTTTCTCTGCGCACTTATAAGATTTTTACCACACACGCAGAAGGGTTAAAAATTCCTATAATACTTGCAAGAGTAACAAGGATATTGTAGTATAGATGACTCAGTATAAGGTCATTCTCCAGAAAGATTATTAAATAATTCGTATTAAATAAAATCTCAATTAATTATTCAAAAGTAAAGTTTTGGAAAGATTGATTTACGACCTAATTTAATTAAACGAATTTAATTAAAAATAGTAGAAAAATCTACAATATTACGAGAAACATAAAGAAATAGTTTTTAGAAATCTAATTGAGAAAGCACTAGGATTTTGCCATCACTTTAATAATCCTATGTAGTTCTTTCAATTACTTATGACCTATACATGCATATTTTGAAGGTTAGGTTTTCCTATATGCCTACTTGGACCCCCAACAATTCAAAACATGCATGCATAATATCATAAGTAAATTCAAAATAAACTACATATTCTTGTTAAGGCTCGTGGCTTCACCCTAGCAAAAGAGATTAGTTACACACATTCATAATTAAAATCAAAAGGAATTCTTTTGAAATGGACAAAGATAGAAAAACACTTTGAATGTAAAAGTTTGAAAATTTCTAAACTTTGGCCAAATTTCTCTTTCAAATATCGCATAAAGAAGAAGAAACTAGGGCCGGCCAGAGTGGCTTATTTATGCTACATCGAAAATCCAATCCCTCCTATAAAATGACTTAGAATAAAACTAGGAAACCAAATAAATTAAAATAAATTAGGAAACTTATCCTAAATTGACTAGTAAAATTCGCCCTGAATCTGCCCAGCCCAGTTTTGAACCCATATCTGCTGCAAATCCGGCCCATGATAGCTCACTTTGAAGCTTGGAATAATCTGAACACTTCTCCAAAAGGCCACGAAATCATCAGAGGTAATCTTAGGCTCCAAAAATCGCAATTAAGCAAAAAAAAGTCACTTTCCAGCAACGATTACTACTCAATCACAAAACCCAGGTTCTCTGGAATTGCAAAACCCATATTCAAATTGCGAAACCCATATTCAAATTGCAAACCCCATATTCAAATTGCAAAACCAAATTCGTCCGGAGCCCTGCAAAACCAAATTCGTCCGAAGCCCTGCAAAACCCAGACTTGATAGGGAAATTTTGTGGCCTCAAATTCAAAATGAAATGACTAAAACCAAGGTACCATCAAAGCTCTACAAAACTAAGTTTCTCCTACGTTTTTACCGTGGTTTCGGGACAACTTTTGAGAGAGTTGGAGTGTTCTAGAAAAAGGAAAAGCAAAAAGAAAAAGAAAAGGAAAAAAAAAAGAAAAGAAAAAGAAAAAGAGAATTAATTTTTATTATTTTTATTATTCTGCTTGTTAGTTCGACATTGAATCGAACGCTTAGCCCAACATAATCTAGTTTAAATCAATCTAACTTAGTTTCTGAACCTAATTCATTTCGAAATAGTCTAGTGTAACAAACACATCCTTATAAACCTATTTCTTATCATCCCACATATTCAAGCCTTCTGGGTGCTCAATTTTGCTGACTTTCCTTTCCAAAAATTGAAAAGGCAAAAAAGTAGTTATATGTTGTCAATATCTTTGAATTTATCAATCGTCATTTTTTGGGCAAATTTTTAATTAATAATTTAGATATTGACAAACATGTCTAATAGAATCCATTAGCTTTTTTAGTTAATAAAATCTGAGTAATGTTATTCATACCATATTTTTGTACCACATTTTTATACCACCTTAGGTGACATTTGATGTGGACAGTCACATCATTTGAATTAATCAGATTTTTAAATTTAGTTAATTATTTAAAAAACTAATAATTAAGAAAAATTAATTAATTAAATGATGATTATGGTATACAAGGAGTCTTTCTCCTTTCTTTCCTTGGGTTTTGCAAATTTTTCAAATGATGTGGCTGTCCACATCAGATGTCACCTAAGGTGGTATAGAAATGTGGTATAAAAACATGGTATGAATAACATTACTCTTAAATTTATAATAAAGTAATTAAATAAAAAGTTAACTTTAATTAGTTAGTGGGACATGTGGCAAGTTATAAGATGTGTGGTGAGCATATCCTATAATTAAGGATATGAGCAAAAATACTCCCTCATAAAAATGGGTTGACAAAATCTCAAATTTGTCTTATTTTATAGGGAGCATTTTTGCTCACCATCATAAACTATGGTGTACACTCATCATACACTTAATTATTTATCACGTGTCTTTTCACTTAACATTGGTTATTTTTTTTTCAAAATTGAAAAAAGTAACATTTAATATGAAAGTTAACTAGAATTAAATAAAATGACACATGACAAATAATTAGGAGTATAATGAATATACACCATAGTTATGGTGGTGAGCAAAAATGCTCCACATATTTTATAGAGTGATACTTAAATTTGATGTAAGTGGAATTTAGAAGTTCATGCATGTGACGCACATTATCATGTTTGAATTTAATAACGGTTTGCTCGTAACTTGCAAGACTTATAGTCCCAAAATATAAAAAAATGATTCACCATAGGACATTATCTACATCGATTATAAAATGTTAACTTGTTTTACATTCTCCATTACCAATATGCAAGATCTAAAAGTGGTTGAGATTTACAATAATGTGGTATTCTTATTTATTTGTAAGTGAGAGATTTTAAATTTGATTTTCGTTAAAAGCGAATTTGAACCACATTATTGCTAGTTTATTGTGAAACTAAAACCACCTCCTATCATTTTGTGTAAATAATATCATTTGTTAAAAAAAAAAATTGGAGGTTTACAAAATAGCTTTGCAAGGGACATAAACCATGCCGATGTATGAGTATCACTTTAACAGAGTTTTATTAAAGGGAATTGTTATTAACACTCCAAAAATCTTATTCTACACTCCTTACAAATGTTTTTTTTTTCTTCTAATTATAGAAAATTTGGAATGTCAAATAAGATTTTTGAAGTACTAATAACAATTTCTTTATTAAATATGTTATCTTTCTGGCATACACATAATTTAACGGTATAAAAAATGATCTAACAAACCACATGGCAGTCATTAAAAAAGGGAGGCCATTGTTTACCTCAATTAGAAACTATTAACTTGTTTTGCATCCTCCATCTGCAATATGGCAGATCTAAACTCGGTGAAAGTGGTTGAGGTTTGCAAAGTAGCACCGCAACCAAGCACGCCGGACTCATCAGCCATCCCTGAGTCCCTTCCTCTAACCTTGTTCGACTTGCTCTGGCTAAGATTTGCACCCGTCCAACGCCTTTTCTTCTATGAAATCAATAACCCTAACTCCTCCGACACCAACTTCACCCATTCAACACTCATTCCGAAACTCAAAACCTCACTCTCTCTCACCCTCCAACAATTTCTGCCTCTAGCCGGAAACGTCATATGGCCCAAAGAGTCCCCTAAACCTATTCTCCGTTACGTCCGAGGCGACGGGGTTTTGCTCACCATAGCTGAGTCCGATAATGATTTCCACCATATAGTTTCAAGCAACAGCTTCAACATTGAAGCCAAAGAATACCATCCTCTCATACCCCAGATGCCCGTGTCTCACGAAAAAGCCGCGGCCATTGCATTGCAGATCACCATATTTCCTAACCGTGGCTTTTGTATTGGAACATCCATGCACCATGCAATCCTAGACGGCAAGACGTCAACCATGTTTGTGAAAACATGGGCTCACATTTGCAAACACGAAGATTCCAATTTGTTGCCGGAACAGCTCAAACCTTTTTTCGACAGAAGCGTCATCAAAGACCCCGCCAACCTAGAAGAGATCTACGCGAACCAATTTCGAAACATGGACCGGCCTGACAACAGAAGTTTGATGTTTTCCAAGTTTAAAGTTTTAGCGCCGGGTTCAATTTGTGACACGTTTGTGTTCACACGGGAAAATATAGAAGCACTGAGGCAGTTGGTGAAAGAGAAGAAACAACAACACGGTCATCAATCGGTTCAACATTTGTCCACGTTCTGTCTAACATGTGCGTACATATGGATTTGCTTAATCAAGGCAGAAGAAATGCAAGCCAAAAATGCAGTGATGGGATTTACTGTGGACGCTAGGTCTCGGTTAGACCCTCCTATACCTACAAACTATGTTGGGAATTGCTTAGTGCTTCGGTTGGCAGTTGCAGAAACAAAAGCGCTCTTAGGAGGAGAGGGGTTGGTTGTGGCGGTCGATGCGATCAGTGAGGCTGTAAAAAGTTTGGACGATGGGGCTTTGAATGGGGCTGAGGATTGGATTCCATTATTGTACTCTGTGGGTACTGATGAGAGTGTATTTTCGACTGCCGGTTCACCTCGCTTTGAGATATATGATACGGATTTCGGATGGGGAAGACCGAAGAAGGTCGAGATTGTTTCCATAGAAGGGACGGGAGCTATGTCCATCTCAGAATCTAAGGATGGTGCTGGAGGTCTGGATATTGGGTTGGTAATGAAAAAACATCACATGGAAATTTTTGCTTCTCTCTTTGCTAAAGGCCTTGAAAACCTTTGAAGCCTAATTTGTTGCGTCTTCTCCAATTTATGGTTTATTTTTAATTATTTTTCTTCTGTTTTACAATAGAAAGAATTAGAAGAAAAAAGGTGTAGGATTTGAATTAAAATAAAATTAGAAAAATCAAACGGTGGAAATGGTCAAATATCTGATGCATGCCATGCTGTATGCATCTGACCTTTAGTCCTTTAGGGCCAATTTGCTTGGCTTCACTAAATTTCATTGGACTAAATCAGACAAACTTTTAGTATAATCTAGTGTTTGTTATCATGTGAAACTAACATTAACGATATTACCTGGGACTCACCTAAACTAATTAAAGGAGTTGATAGAGGTTCTTAGCAAGAGTCCCCAAAAGCCATGGCACTAGTTATGATCTGCTTCCTCTGCTCGTGTCTTCTCTCTGCGCACTGATAGGATTTTTACCACACACGTAAAAGGGTTAAAAATTCCTATAATACTTGCAAGAGTAACAAGAATATTGTAGTATAGATTACTTTAACAAGGTCGTTCTCCACAAGAATTATTAAAAAGTAAAATTTTGGAAAGATTGATTTATGACCTAATTTAATAAAACGAATTTAATTAAAAGAGTAGAAAAATCTACAATATTACGAGAAACATATAGAAACAGTTTTTAGAAATCTAATTGAGAAAGCACTAGGGTTCTACCGTCTCCTTAACAATTCTATGTAGTTCTCCCAATTACTTACGACCTATACATGCATATTTTGAAGGTTAGGTTTTCCTATATGCCTACTTGGGCTCTTCTCTGCTCACTCTTGTCTACAATTTCTGGGTTTGAAGGACCAATAGAGCGGTAAGAAGACTAGCTTTCTGTCTTGCCATTCTTTACATGATCACACACTCGACGAAAGAGCTTTACAAGTGGCATTGCCCTTCTTCACTCATGCGATATTGCTGGATCGGGCTTTCGCCTATTGTCTAAGATTCCCCACTGTTGCCCTTCATAGGAGAGTGCGAGCTTCATCCAGAGCTTGACCAGGGGATGGTCAGTCAGTCAAGCAATTCGGGTTCTCAGTCGATTCCTATTCGCCTCCCCCCTGTGTAGTCCATTAACGGGTAGGGTGGGTAAAAGAACTGGGATTGTTGATCTTTTCCTTAAAGATTGGGATGAGTCGATGTCGGTCCAACAATTCAAAACATGCATGCATGATATCATAAATAAATTGAAAAGAAACTACATATTCTTACTAAGGTTTGTGGCCTCACCCTAGCAAAAGAGATTAGTTACGTACATTCATAATTAAAATCAAAAGTAATTCTTTTGAAATAGAAAACACTTTGAGTGTAAAAGTTTGAAAATCTCTAAACTTTGACCAAATTCCTCTCTCAAATATATCATAGAGAAGAAGAAACTAGGGCCGGCCACAATGGCTTATTTACACTACATAGAATCCAATCCTTCCTATAAAATGACTTAGAATAAAACTAGGAAACCAAATAAATTAAAATAAACCAAGAAACTTAATCCTAAATTGACTTGTAAAATTCGCACAGAATCTGCCCAGCAGTTTTGGACCTATATCTACTCCAAATATGGCCCATGATAGCTTATTTTTGAAGCTTGGAATAATCTGAACACTTCTCCAGAAGGCCACGAAACCATCAAATGTCATCTTGGGCTCCAAAAATCGTAATTAAGCCAAAAAATGTCACTTTCTAGCAATGCGCACTACTCGAATCACAAAACCTAGGTTCGTTGGAATTCCAAAACCCATATTCAAATTGCAAACCCCAGATTCGAATTACAAAACCAAATTTGTCCGAAGCCGTGTAAGACCCAGAATTGATAGGGAAATTTTGTGGCCTCAAATTCAAAATGAAATAACCAAAACCAAGATATTACAACTCTACAAAACTAAATTTCTCCTATGTTTTTACCGTGGTTTTGGGACAACTTTCGAGAGAGTTAGAGTGCTCCAGAAAAAGGAAAAGCAAAAAGAAAAAGAAAAAGAGAATTAATTTTCATTCTCTTTATTATTCTGCTTGTTAGTCCAACATTATACCAAACTCTTCATTAAATTAGTCCAGCATAGTCTACTCTAAATCAATCTAACTTAGTCCCTGAACCTGACACACCCCGATCTCGATATTCCTCTAATACCAGGATAGGCACGTGCTGGCCAACACCCAAGGGTGACGAAGCCATTTTAAACATGCCTACGAATAAAACATGTAATTAGAACGAAAATGCTAATGCAAGAACGTGTTCAGAGCATACAACTAATCAAGAATAAAGTGAAAGAATTATTATGACAAAGTACGAACCGAGGAATGGGTCCTACCCTGAGAAGACTTGAAGATCCCTACGCGAAATTGCCCTGACGCTGGGACTGTGTGCCTCGACTCTAACTCCTGAGGGGGCGGAAAACTGACAAGGTGAGTGGACCAAAGTTTATAATAATAATATTAATAAGAATACCATTTTCTTTATGAGCATACTAACCCCCTGTTTTGAAATATATATATATATATAATACTATATAATAAGTTTTTCTGAAAACCCTAGCATGCCATGAAATCATTCGTAAAACAAGTATGAGTAAAATCATGCTTAATAATGGTGCAATCATCACCCGAAGGCAAATCCATAAATCTCATCAATATTGTACTCTCTAGAGGTATCATAGTCGCCCGAATGCAGTACATGTCCATCTCCCGAAGGTGAAGTTGTACGACACTGGGTTACGCTAGTGAAGAAACATGTTAGGCCCCATCACCCGAAAGTAAAGTTGTACGACTCCGGGTTACACCAAAGAAGAAACATATACATAAATATCCTCAACTGTATCTTGTGGCTATAAACGTCTACATACCCGTGTTGTGTGGATGTGTTGTATGATAACCCACTAGATAAGCACCAAAAACATATCTCCAAGACTCATATCCAAATATGAAGCTCAAGGGCTCAAAGCCTCATTTCATAAATCCATGATAATTCATATTTGTAAATCCATAGAATTCCATATATGAATATCCCATAATTCATAACTCATTTTCGAAAATCTGTAATATAAATCATATTCATAATCCATAGAGTTTCATATAGGAAAATCTAATAATTCATAACCTTTCGTAAAACCTAATTGCGATAAAACATAAATATGTCATAAATCGTAAATATAGAAATTTGTAAAGCATAATATTAAACGTATTCAAATCATGAATTATGTAATGCATGCTAGGCTAATATTTTATATAAATATGTAAGTTTAGAAGGGGTCCATTCACAGATATTTTGTAGCCAAGGAACTGCTCGAGTTAGTGATGATGGAGTCACTTTCCACCGATGCACCTGGGCTGAAGTCCAATTCGGGCGGGAAGTGGCCTGAAAACTACCACAAACCGTCAAAACCCTAGAAATGGGTGGTTCTCGATTTGCTATCCAAACGAACTCCGATGCCCCAACCAATGCATAAGCTTTATTCCTGACCTCAAGGGAAGTCCATTGATGGTGGTGGTCGACTGTACTAACTTAAGAAATGGCGAATCGCCACCGTGCACCCCACGAACTCACCAGAGAAGACGACATTCATTCGTCATGAAATCATGACCCACAGCCATCAAGTTTGGGTAGGAATGGAAGTTGAGAGGACGATGAGTTGATTGGTGGTGGTGGTTCCCCATGATTCATCGGAGAAACGCCAGTGAAAAGCATCAGGGTGTTCGTAGAAATTGGGTCGGGTCTCAGGTCAAAGGGAGGGTCCGGGTTTGCTAGTCTTATTCCCTCATTTCCCTCATTGCTCTATCTTCTAATTAGTCACCATCTCCTCTTCTTTTTCCCGATTGGGTAGCACCCCTATCTATTCTCTCCTATTCTTTCCGTCACAGCCGCACACGTGGCACAGCCTCATTACTCCAGCAACATCTAGAGCCTTCTAGATGATGTTCAAATGATCAATTTGCCCCTATCTTTGCTTGCCTATAACTTCTTCGTTATAACTCCAAATTATGTTCCGTTTATGACCATGCATTCGTCATGTTGAGTACTATAAGAATACGCCAAGAAAACAGATCTTATGTGACATGAACAAAAGTCAACGCATTTGCCTCGAAGGGCATTTTCCTAATTTTCACATTTTAAAAATTATAAAATTCGTAATATTTGGGGATGGGTTGTTACAAAACCTAATCCATTCTGAGATAGTCTAGTGCAACAAACATATTCTTATAATATTATTTCTTACCATCCCATATATTCAAGCCTTCTAGGTGCTCAATTTTGCTGACTTTCCTTTCCAAAATTTGAAAAGGCAAAAAATTAGTTATATATTGTCCAATATCTTTGAAATTATCAATCATCATTTTTTGGGCTAATTTTTAATTAATAATTTGGATATGGACAAACATGTCTACTAAAATCCACTAGCTTTTCAGTCAATAAAATCTACTAGGCCATCTCTCCTCTTTTTTTTTCCATTCCCTTCCCTCTTCTCCTATTTGAATGGTCACGGTTAAGCCACGTCAACATCTTATATTAATTTTTTGGGTAAAGTACAAAAAATTACCTCATCTATTGGTGTCACGATACTTTCATACCTCATCTTTTTAAATTGATAATGTCATACCTCATCTTTAGAATTTGGTCCAATATTATACTTTCCGTTACTTGGCCGTTTACTTTTCAGTTAAATGTTATCGTGGCTTGATTCGATGCCCACTTTCTGTTAAAAAATTAATAAAATATTATTAAAAACTAAAAAGAGTTTATTTAATTTTTTTTTTTAAATATTACAAGAAAGGTAAAAAAAAGAAAAACCTCAGTAGCCCCCTCGGCGCCCGCGCGGAAGAGGGAGGAAGAGGATAAAAGAAGAAGAAGGAGGAGGTCACGAAGGTTTCCCGATTCCACCTCAATGGGATCTGAGTTTTTTATTTTTGTATATTTTCCTCCTCCTTCTTTTGCAAATCCGGGTTTTTTTTTATTTTTTTTTCTTCCTTTTCTTCTTCCTCATCCTTCCTCCTCCTTTTGCAGATTTGGTTTTTTTTTTTTTTTTCTTCTTCTTCTTCTTCTTCTTCTTCTTCTTCTGGGTTGCAGGAAGGGGACTAGAAGGGAGAAGAAGAGGAAGATGGGGGAGAAGAGAGAGAAGAGGGGCGAGGGAAAGGGTACGAACAGAAGGTTTTTTTATTTTTTATTTTATTTTTAACTTTTCTTTATTATTTTAATATTTAAAAATTATTAAATGATTTTTTTTTAGTTTTTAATAATATTTATTAATTTTTTAATAGAAAGTGGGACCCAGATCAAGCCACGTCAACATTTAACTAAAAAGTAAACGGCCAAGTAACGAAAGGTATAATATTGAACCAAATTCTAAAGATGATGTATGATTTTGTCAATTTTAAAAGATGAGATATGAAAGTGTCGTGACACCAATAGTTGAGGTAGTTTTTTATACTTTACCCTAATTTTTTATAGCAAGAGAAAGATAAAATAAAAGAATGTGAGAAGAGGGAATGAAAGGGAATGGAATGAGGAGGAAAGAGAATCCTAGTTTATCTCTAATGGGAGAAGCTCTTGGGAGCGGGTCTTGCTAGTGTTGGGCCCCTTCGTGACAGTGTTGTGTGAGGGGGGAGGAGGACACAAATGGAGCCGGATGAATATTTAAAAAATCAGGAGGGGTGGGGTAAGGGTGATTTGGTGTGTGGAATCGTATGGCCACTGTTTCATTATCCGTGTTGAAGAATTTCTTCTCAAATGGAGTAAGCAAATGGATAGTCAAATCCATTTTTGAAGAAACAAGTAGACAAAAATATGCTCCAATGGTTTAGTCAATTGGGCAGGCAATTTTTTTCTACACCCACAAAGTTGGCAATGTTGCTTACTTTCAACATTATCGGTGATTCAGTATTCACGTCTCTATTTATGATAAAGTAGTTCATATGGAGGAAAAAAACACTAAAATGAAGGCTAAAAGTAAATGTCAAAGATAAAAATAAGATAATAAAATAAAATTTGTCTACTTAATTTGCCTATTTCATTTCAACGACACATTTTCTCTACGAGGTAATTGAGTAGAACTTACCGCATCAACTATTAAAATACAATTTCCTATTTCCTTTGCCGACACTAATGGAAATGCTCTTATTCCCAAAAGGAAAAGAGAGAAAAAAAAGATACCACCAACTACCTAAAAATAATTGAACCAATTTCGCATTTTGCATATAAAAATAATATTTAGAGAGTCAGCAACTCAGAATTTTCAGCCAAATATAAAGAGATATGAAGAAAGAAAGAGTATTGTAAGATGCTAAGAAGAAAAAACCAAGAAAGAAGATGAGTTTGACCCAAGGACTCGAGCTGGGTTCTGAGAGAGAAGTCGAGATGGGTTCGTAGTTTCTGCGAAAGAAAGCTAATGGTTGCTGCTGCAAGAGAGCCCGTGGTTTCTGGAAGCAAATGGAAAAGCCCAGCTTTTCCATCTTTTTTCCAGGATCACCAAAACGTGTGCATGAGAAGTGGCGCACAGAGAGGTACCAACTGGGATTTTGGCAGAAATGAAAAAACAAATCAAATAGGGGCAAAATTGCGGACACACTGTTCAAGGAACAGTGCTTTAGTTGATTTTATCATTTAGTTTATATAATATATAATATAGAGTTTTAAAGAAAAACTCACGGTACTGTTCATTTTAACGAAAAATTATATTTTTACACTAAAAAATCAATCCTAATACTATTCACTTTACTTTTTATTTTGTCCTTATCATTAAAACTCAAAATTTTCAAGTCTTTTTCATTAGTTTTCCTTATATAATATAAAAACTGTTATTAGTACTTCAAAATTTTCATTTCACGCTTCTCACAAGTGTATTTTTCTTTATAATTATAAAAAATTTAGAGTACTAAATGAGATTTTATATGTGCTAATAACAATTTCCTATAATATTTGTATAAGTTATTTGTTTCCATCTCCAACTAAACATTAAAACATTGCCATTAAACTTGTTTCCGTCTCTCCCTCCAATGGCAGAGGCAGACCCAAACCTGTTGAAGGTAACTGAGGTTTGCAGGGTAGCTCCAGAACAACAAGGCACACAAGAGTACTTCCTTCTTGATCTTACTTTCTCTGACTTATTCTGGCTAAGGTTTCCACCTTTTCAACGCATATTCTTCTATGAAATCCCTCCTTCCACCGACTTCGATCACATACTTCCCAAGCTCAAAGCATCCCTCTCTACCACCCTCCAACACTTTCTACCTCTAGCAGGAAACCTCACTTGGCCTCAAAATTCCCACAAACCTGTTCTCAGCTACGTCCGAGGCGACACCGTTTCACTCACAATAGCCGAGTTTAATCATGCTGATCATTTCCACCATCTTTCGAGTAATGAATTTGTTGAAGCCAAACAATACCAGATGCTTGTGCCCCATTTGCCGATATCCGACGAAAAAGCCACGGCCATGGCATTGCAAATCACTCTATTTGCTAACCACGGTTTTACTATCGGAACATCCATGCACCATGCGGTCCTCGACGGCAACACTTCAACCCTATTTATAAAATCATGGGCTTACTTCTGTAGACATGGAGGATTAATCTCAACGTCTAATTCGTTACCGGATCAGCTAAAACCATTTTACCGCAGAATGGTCGTCGAGGATCAAGCCCGGCTTGGGTCGATTTACTCGAACCAATTGCTCAACATGGACCGACCCAACAATAGAAGCTTGATGACTAAAGTGCGTACAGATCCAGTTTCACCTGACCTAATTCGAGGCACGTTCCAAGTTACGCGCACAAATCTTGAAGCCCTAAGGCAAACGGTGACGGCCAAGAAGGAACAACAAGAACAATATCAATCGGTTCACTTGTCAACGTTTTCTCTCACATGTGCCTACGCATGGGTTTGCTTAGTCAAGGTTGAGGAGATGAAAGCTGGCGTATCACTCTTCATCTTTAGCGTTGATTGTAGGTCCCGCTTTGACCCTCCTCTACCAGCAAACTATTTTGGCAACTGCTTAACTGGCCGTAAAGCAGTTGCAGAGACAAATAGGCTACTGGGAGAAGATGGGTTGATTGTGGCAGTGAGTGCAATTAGTGAAGCCATAAAAAGTTTGGATGAGGGGGTCTTGAAGGGGGCGGAGAATCGGGTTTCAGGTTTGTACAGTGGCGTGCGTAGCAAAGATCGTACAAAATTTTCCGTTGCTGGCTCACATCAGTTTAAGATTTACGGCACTGATTTTGGATGGGGAAGGCCGAGGAAGACTGACGTCGTTTCGATAGACAGGACCGGAGCGATCTCTCTTGCAGATAGCAAGAATTGTGGCGGAGGTGTTGAGATAGGGTTGGTTTTGAAAAAACATCACATGGATGTTTTTGCTTCTCTGTTTGCCAAAGGTCTTGAGTCCTTATGATATTTAAAATATTTATACAGTGATAGGGTACATCTGTCTAGGGTTCGTGTGGCGGTGGGTTTTCGACTTATTGTTTATCTCATATATGATAAGTGTAACATTATTCTTTATTTCATAGTCAATCCGTGAAAGTTTTCACAAACTGAATCTGATAGAACCCTTGCTCTGCGTCTTACTCAATGTACCAGTAAAACAGTGTATTCATTACAATATTACTTTCTTAACAACAAACTTCCTTTCTTACAGCTTACCTAATACAGTAACCAAGCTCACTTGACCACTAAGAAACCGACTAACAACCTTATCTCTAACCATATCTAACTAGCCAACCTTATCACATCCCCAACAGGATCGTCTTCTGATCTTTTTGGTAAGGATTCTGGAGATTCGTAAATCATGTATGTTTATTATACATCGTACGGTTAATTTTTGTCTGTTATTATTTGTATTTAATTTTAAATAAAAATATTTGAAATAATTTTTGACCGCATAATATACGCTGAACGAATATAATTCATGAATCTCCGAGATCCTCACAAATAGGATCCGGATTCTCACATCGTAGTCCTCACATACGAAACAACCAATTGATAGTGCTCAGTTAGTATCCCAGTCAGCATCCTATCAGGATAATCTGTGTATGGATTTATTTCATTACAACAATTTTATAGTTTTCTTTCCTTTTTGTTTTATTTCTCCTTTGCTTTTCTGCTTTGTTCTGATTTAAATTTCTAAGTTTAAGATATAAATAGTTTTATATAATTTTATATTGCAACTTGTTAGATGCCCAACTTTATAAATGAAACATATGATGTAAAAGTCTGACTTTTGATCGAATTCTGGCTACATTACTATTCTTTTTCCTGATCGAATTCTGGCTACATTACTATTCTTTTTCCTGAATGGGTGCCCACATTTATATATATATTTTTTTCTTGAATCGGTGGCTAAATTGTTGATCTACTAACTACTAGATTATACTTGCCCCGTAATTCGATTATATATAGGGTTAGCAAGTCCTAATCTGAATTCTGATCATCATCTGATAAACATTTTTCATTAAAAGGTTCTTAAATTGATTTCAAATTCCAATTCAACAGTCCAATGACAGACCCAAATAACTCTCTGAAAGTTGTTGAAGTTTTTAGGGTAGCTCCACAACCAAAACCTGGCACATCAGACTCAGCAATCTCATCTGGAGGAGAGAATCTTACCTACAACAAAGATGGTCCCGTTTCAACTGTATTCCAAGTTAATCACGACTGATGCCTTACGAGTTGTCTCTTCCGCTAACCTTCTTCGACCTCCTATGGATAAAGTTTCCGCCCTTCCATCGCCTTTTGTTCTATGAAATATTGCCATGCTCTTCACCTGCAGACGCTTTAATCTTTTTTCATTCAACAATTATTCCAAAACTCAAAACGTCGCTCTCTATCACCCTCCATCATTTTCTACCTCTAACCAGAAACATCACGTGGTCTGAAAACTCCCCCAAACCCACCCTCGATTACGTCCAAGGTGACACCCTTTCGCTCACGGTAGCCGAATCTGATGCCGATTTCCACCACCTCTCAAGCAATGACTTTAATATCGAATCCAAAGAATACTATCCTCTTGTACCCCAACTGGCAGTATCTCATGTAAAAGCCGCCGTGATGGCGTTGCAAATCACCATCTTTCCCAACAGCGGCGGCTTTTCCATTGGCATATCGATGCACCATGCAGCTATTGACGGCAAGACTCTCTTCTTGTTTCTGAAATCATGGGCTCACATATGCAAACATGTTCATCAATCTGTTGATATTTTGTTACCCAATCACTTCAAACCATTTTATGATAGAAGTGTAATCCAACACCCGATCGGTCTTCAACTCGAGGCGATCTACTTGAACCAGTTTCTAAACATGGACGGAAGACAAAACAATCGAAGCCTGATGGTTCAAGCCCACTATAAATCTCTAGCGGTACCGAATTCCTTTCGAGGCATCTTCGAATTCACAAGCGCGAACATACAAGCTTTACGGAAAAGGGTCACGACCAGAATGAAAGAGATCACCACCAAACAACAACAAGAACGTGATCCATCGGTTCATATGTCAACTTTTTCGCTAACGTGCGCGTACACATGGGTTTGCTTAGTAAAAGCACAACAAGGGGAGGAAGAAGAAATAAAAGGGGACAAGATACCTTTGTTTATTAGCGTGGACTGCCGGTCACGCTTAGCCCCTCCTTTACCTGCAAACTTTTTCGGAAACATAGTCACGGCCTATCTAACAGTTGCAGAAAGAAAAGGACTTTTGGGAGAAGACGGGTTGGTTATGGTAATAATTGCGATCAGTGAAGCCATTAAAGGTTTGGACAACGGGGTTTTGAATGGCCTGGAAGATTTGGTTTCACGATTGTACCTCTCTGATGAACAGAAGAGTACTGCTGATCCTCGCACAGTATTTACGACCGCTGGATCGCATCGGTTTGACGTGTATGGCACTGATTTTGGATGGGGAAGGCCGAGGAGTACCGAAGTGGTTCGTAAAAATGGTACCGGAGCGATCACTTTTTCAGATGGCAAGAACGGTGGTGGCCCTGTTGACGTTGGGGTGGTTTTGGAAAAACATCATATGGAGGCATTTGCTTCTCTTTTTGCTAAAGGTCTTGAAACCCTTTGAAGTTTGAACCCTCATTTCATGTGTACTGGTCAACTGAAAACTTGTATGCTTCCTTTTCATAGTTAATATTGTGATGATGTTGTTCTTTGGAGCACGAACCTCTGTTTTTTCCTTTCATAGTTAATATTATGAGACTCCTTTACCTTCACATTTTCGCAGATCAGCACCAACCATGTAATGTAAAAGTCTGATTTTTGATCAAATTCTGGTTATGTTGCTATTCTTTTTCTTTAATTTGTTGAATCGGTGGCTTAGTTATTAATCTACTAACTACTAGATCACAGTTGTCCCAGAAATTCCATTATATAAGGATTTAGCAAGTCCTCTGAATTCTGATCATCATCAGATAAACATTTCATTAATAAAGTTCTTAATATGATTTCAAATTCCACTTCAACAGTCCTATAATGTTTTTCGAAAAAATGGCACCGGAGCGATCACTTTTTTAGATGGCAAGAACGGTGGTGGCGCTGATGACATTGGGTTGGTTTTGGAAAAACATCATATGGAGGCTTTTGCTTCTCTATTTGCCAAAGGTCTTGAAGCCCTTTGAAGTTTGAAGCCTCATTTCATATGTACTAGTCAACCGAGAGATGGTGTTTGTTCTTTGGAGCAGGAGGAACCTCTGTTTTTCTTTTATATTTGTTACGATTTGCGATAAATTTACTTGAATATGTCTAGTTTGCTCCTGCTTAGTTTTCACTTAGTTGCTGGGTTCAACGCACCGCTTAACTAACAACTAGCATTTTTTAGAATCTTACATACGTGTGGTAAATTAAGTTAACAAATCATCAAATTCTAAAACCAAAATTTAAAAACTTTCAAAATCCAAATTCCTACTAATAATAATTTTTTATTACAAATCATATTTTACAATAATTAAGAATTAGTATAAAAAAATGCCCTTTTACACCAATTGAGAATTAGGAAAAAAAAAAATCTATGCCCTAACCACCTGACCTTAACTCTATTAATAGAAGATTTAGTAAACAAAAATAATTGAGAATTATTATCGGTATTTTTTTATAATATTATTATCAGAACTTAAAATTTAGCATCTCAAAAAGAAAAAAAAACTTTAGTCATTTTGCATCTTTTCACTCTTTCTCTTGTTTTCGTTTAATAATGTGGTGCACGAATTTGATACATGGAGCTTCACCCTTAAGACTCTTTTATTTTAAATGATACGTAGGATCGAAGAAATTTCTAATTGGACGACCAAAACCCTAATTTCCAAAAAGTAAAAATTAAAATGTTCGAAAAGTGTAAAAGGGTTCTACTTGAACCAATCTGGGCACTCCAAACCCAAAGTGGGAATTTGCATCAGGGTTGGGTTGTTGGCTTCTACCAAAGACTATTCCTTTTTATCGTGCGCTAACTGTTCGTCTGTCCCTCTCTCTCTCTCTCTCTCTCTCTCTCTCTCTCGCTCGCTCTCAGTCTGTCTCACTCGCTCACTCTTGTTTGGCGGAAGGTACCCTACCATCTCCACCGTCCCCAAATCTCTGTCTCTCCCAAACCAATATAACATTCCCACAAAAGGGTAACTTCTATTTGCTTTCATTTCTCTGATTATTCCATCTAACTTTACTTACTGTATGATTTTCTAGGTTGTATTTTGGATTTCATGAACTTTTGTTTTTTTCTGTTATTTGAATCGAATTTTTGCTCGGATTTTTACTAGTTTATGTGATCGAGCATTGCCCTAATTGGAGGATTAGTCGAGTTAATTTTGTGATTTTATGCTCGGTGGGTGTGAATGTTGGGCGGGTTATTGATTGATTTGCCAATTTCTCTGATTTTGTGAGATGGGTTTTGTTTATTTTGGGGTATGAGGTTGGTTTTAGGGTTTAGTTCTTGAGCCTTGCTGGGTTTGGATCCAGGTAATGTGAGTCTGCTGCTTCTGAGGATTTAGGTTTAATCGGTATGTTCCCCCAAATGTTGGAATTTGCCTAAATTTTCAGTGCTCACTGAGTAGATATGTGGTTCTCGTTTTTATGGAAAATGGTTGTAATTTATGGTGATTATAGAGCCTTTCTCAGAATGTGGTGGTTTTGGCTCTCTCTGCGATTGGCTCTTCGGTTTTTTTAATAAGAAAGTTGTATTTTATATCGCTAGCTCCTTCGTGTTTTGTGTCCGCACAATGGAATCGAAAATGGTCCCTAAGTTCTTAGTTCCTACTATCTATTGGCAGTGATTACTTTACTTTTGGCATTTTCTTTTCTTTCTTTCTTTCTTCGAAAGAAGGATTAGTCTTAAGCACAGGTTCTTTAGTACCTTTGATACATTATAGGTGCCTATTTCTATGTTTAATTTATGGAATTTTCGGAAGGTTTCTTCATATCTCTTACTCACTACCCCTTGTGGTTTTGAATTAGTTATCTTAATGATTGGCTTAATGAGATATGAACAATTGTTTAGTGGTATTTTATTTCTGAATTTTTTGCGCAGAATGGCCTTGCAGAATGAAATTTCTCGACCCACTCCTAGTGCCCAACTTGTTGGAAATGCTTTCATTGAGCAGTATTACCATATTCTTCATAATAACCCGGGCCTGGTCCATCGGTTTTATCAGGAGTCAAGCGTACTAAGCCGGCCTGATTCCAATGGTGTGATGACATCAGTGACCACTATGCAAGTAAGTACCAATGGTCTATTACTTGGTTCTACCTTTTGTAAGGAACATTTGTTGAAAAATGTGCTAAAACCATCAAAGAGTACATTAATAAGCAAATGCATGTTGGCGCTTGATATAGGCAGTTCTTTTATGTTTGTTGATTTGGATACCGTATGGTCCGCCGAACTATTGAAGCACATTGATTGTTTACCTGATCATTTGCGCGTGGTCCCTTTAAGTTTGATCTGTTGCTTTTTTGGCCTTTTTTAAATACTCATTTGAATGGTCAATCCTGTATGACTCTGCCATGCTCTCAAATTCTCAAGGTCATCAGTCTTATTTTCTGTCAATGTTTTCTTCGAGCAGGGAATCAATGAGAAGATCCTTTCCTTAAATTACAACGAATATAAGGCTGAGATAAAGACTGCTGATGCTCAGAAGTCTTATGAAGACGGGGTGACTGTGTTAGTTACTGGATGTTTAACAGGCAAGGATAACTTGAAAAGGAAATTCGCCCAATCATTTTTTCTTGCCCCTCAAGACAATGGGTTCTTTGTATTGAATGATGTCTTTAGATTTGTGGAAGATGGAGATCTTTTTGAAAACCATTCAGTTAATGAAGTTAATGATGCCGCAGCAATCCTCTCAAGCCAGGATCCAGGTAATCATATCTTACACTTTCTGTTCTTTTTTGTTACTCTAGTTTTGGTATTGCAGCAGGAGCTTGTTTACACCTCCTATTATTTGTTTGCAGAGCCAACTCATGTTCCTGATCCTCCTGCACCTGATCTGGAAACTACTCAAGTTGAAGAGAATCCAATTATTGTTGAGAAAACTTATGACACATCAGACCATGAGGGACAATATGCTACAGAATCTGACGTGGAACCCCCGTCTTATTCAAATGGGAACGATGTCACTGTGACAGTTGAGCTGGCTTCTACGACAGCCCAAGAGGATAGTTCGAAGAAGTCGTATGCATCAATTGTGAGCTAAGGGGAACAAATTTTTCCGTTTTAGGCAGAATTTTTCTTAAATAGTTACAAAAGTTAATCAAATTTTATTGTAGGTTAAAGTTCCTAAAGGGAGTCCAGGACCAAGTAAGGTTTATGTGCCTACTAATACTGTCAGAGTGACTTCTAAGAAAGCGGAAACTAATTTGCCTGGGCCAACTGCACCTGCTTCTGTGCCTGAAGCATCAGCCCCAACTAGCACTAGCGCCTTAGAGAGTAGTGATACTAATGAGGAAGGTATGCTTGGTTTTTCTGACTTTTCCCCCTTTTTTCTTCTCTTTATATTTGCAAGTTTCCTTTTGAAAATCTTCATAAAACTAAAATATATTTTGTAAATTTGCATCTATCTAAATTTAATAGTTTTATCTTGTTTCTGTAATGAAACAATTGCATTTGTTATAGTTGAGGGCTATTCTATTTACATAAGGAATTTGCCCTTAAACGTGACGACTGATCAGCTTCAGGAAGAATTCAAGAAATTTGGACCAATAAAGCAAGGAGGCGTCCAAGTCCGAAATAAGAAAGTTAGTGTTTTTGCATCCCAAAAGTATCTCCCCCTCGGCTCTGGATTTTCTGATATATTTCTCACCCCTTGCATGTTATTTTGTGTGTGTGCAGCTCCAGGGCTACTGTTTTGGATTTGTTGAGTTCGAGTCTTCAAGTTCCATGAATAGTGCCATTCAGGTAGGTCAGTTTTTATTAATTTGCGTTCTTTGAAATATGATTTTCTATAGAATCTGGATGCAGTATTATTAATTTCTATGATTCTAACTTTTGATTGCTCTCCCTCGTGAAAATCAAGTCAGACTGATTTGAACAGTATGAATAGGATATGGAATTCTTTCTTCCATCATCTTCTTATTGGCCTTGTATTTTGGTACTCTGTTCAATCAAGTTTAGATGTTCTTTCACCGTGGCTGATTGGTAGTACAATCTTCGCAGCTCTAAGTGCATGTAGTTTGAGACTTTGAGTTGTCATAGTTTGATGTTTGCAGGAGTGCCTTTAGAACTTCATTCATGTTTCGTTTATATTATTTCTGATGTTTGATTGGGTTTCTCGTGTATCTAATAAGAGAACCTAATGTTTTAGGCTTCACCAATCACTATTGGTGGCCGTCAAGCTGTCATCGAGATAAAGAGAACTACCACTCGAGGTAAGTGGACATACAATCTATGCTGTTATCCTTCACTAATTCAATAGAATGTGTCATCTGAAGATATTTGAAAAGCTCATGCAAGAAGAATGCTTGTGTTTCCAGTTGGTAGCAGTGAAAGAGGTAGATTTCCTCCTGCTGGAAGGGGTGGGTTCCGAAATGACAGCTTTAGAGGCCGTGGGAACTATGGCGGTGGCCGGAGCTTCGGCAGAAACGAATATGTGAGAAGGGGCGAATTCTCAGGCCGAGGCAGGGGTGGCCCAGCCGGGCGCAGTGGATATGGTTATCAGGCACGAGGGAGGGGAGGACGCTCAAGTGAACCAAACCAGAATGCTGTTTCTGCATAAAAGCTAATACGTGCATCGTGATTTTTTTTTCGCGAATATTTTAACAAAATTGGTTTCGCGATTGGCGCAGTCAGAAGTGTTGATGGTAAGTAGTTTAATCATAATCTAATGAGAGAAAAGCTAAGACTCTGACATTGTGGTAAATGAGATGAAGAGGCATTTTGCCGTAGGTTTAGGATTATTTTTACCAGAAACTCGAGGTCATCCTCTAGTTTTACCACAAACTTTTGAGATTATTGTGATGGGGTTTGCTTAGTTTTAGTGCTGCTTTTTTATTTATTTATTTTTCCAGTTTAGTTGTAGTGTAGTGGCTGTAACCAGAAGAAGAGTTAAATAGATGGGAATTTTTTTGGGTATGCTTTGAATTGTTCATGGATTCACCATTGATTGTTTGGTTTCAAGTTTTGGGTATTCTTCTTGTTGGAGAAATTGTTTACTGTGACGGCCAGACTGCGGTGTTATTAATTCACGTGCTATAATATAAGCGGATTAGCAGTATCCTGTGACAATGTGACCTAACATCTTGTTTAATAAACCTTGTCCCCAATGATTTTGATGTTTAATAGTTGCCCCAAGTTGCATTGGGTCTTAAATCAATGGGCAAGTGGAGAAACTTTTTGCACAAGGTTCAAATTGTTATGTAGTGTCATTAATTTACGTGCTCTAACATAAGTAAATTTGTATTACCACACGAGTCTGTTCTTAAATTTGGATCGTAAAGTGATAGTATCTTAATTTGACATGCTATAACATGAGTATTTGACAACAATCTGGTAAATAAGCAAGATACGAGAAACGATAATCACACAATTTTACTTCGACTTACCACTCGATACTTCTAGTCATTGAATTGAATACTTAGATAAAAAGAGAATGAGTGTTTTTGTCCATCCTAACGGTTTTGTCAATGCTCACCATACACAAATTCATGTATTTTTTCCCCTTCCAGATCTTGTGTGCATATTCACTGTTATCTGCAATGTTGTTGCAAAGTCTGAAAGTCCAGATGAAGCATTTTGTTTACAGTTTGTTAGTAGAAAGTGCTATTAGCTGTTCCAGAAGCAGAACAACGCAATGTGAGGCACTGCAAGTAATTCAGCATTCATTTGGGTACAAACACAATTGATAAGAAATAGTTACTGGCTTGCTAACACAACATATAATTGTAGCTAGATTACTCTAATGCTGCTCATCATCTCCCAATCGGATTGTTGATTTCCGAGAAGATCGTCCCGGATATGCACTGAACGGATTCATTCGTAGCGCAACCTGGCACACTAGCCAAGGCATCCTCGTCGTTCTTTTCACCGCACTTCTGATGCAGTTGCAATGCAAACTCAAGCCCCCTCACAACATCGTTCATTGTCGGCCGCTCGATCCCATTATCATTGATGCAACTCATAGCAATTTCCACAAACTTGTTCAAACACTCGGTTTCAATCTTACCCTTCATGTTCGGATCAATAATTTGATCAAGTTTCCTGTCGCGATGGCAGCTCTTGGCCCATTCAGCCAAGTTCATTTGGCTTGTCTCCACTGCATGCACCACAGCTGGTCTTGAGCACAGTACTTCACACAACACTACACCGAATGAGTACACATCGGACTTCACCGTCAATTGTTGACGTCGGTAGTATTCCGGGTCTAGATAACCGAAACTGCCTTTCACGGCCGTGCTAATGTGGGTCTTGGACATGGTGGTCGTGCCCATTTTCGACAATCCAAAATCCGAAACCTTGGCCACCCATTTCTCATCCAATAAAATGTTTGTGCTCTTCACGTCACGGTGGATGATAGTACCCTGCGCATCGCTGTGAAGGTAGCGCAACCCTCGCGCGGCACCAATGCAAATTTGGAGCCGTTGTCCCCAGGAGAGAGGTGGGTTGTCGTTGTGGTAGAGATGGTCAGCGAGTGTCCCATGTGACATGTAATCGTACACCAAAATCATCTCATTTTTATCAGTACAATACCCAATGAGAGACACCAAATGGCGGTGTCTGAGTTGTGAGAGCAGTTCGATTTCCGTCTTGAACTCACGGGCTCCCTGCTTTGACTCGGGTTTCAGCCGTTTGATCGCAACGGGAGTGGCCCCGCCGTCGATATGCCCTTTGTACACGTGACCGAAGCCGCCAACACCAACAATGAAACCCTGGCTGAAGTTTTGGGTGGCGGCTTTGATCTCTGACAGTGAAAAGCAACGACACAAATGTGGTGGTAAAGATGACGACCCATCTGAGCCAGTGTCCTTGACTTTCTGCCACCGCCTAAAAACCAAGAACCCAAGAACAGAGAGTCCAAGTATGCCGGAAGCTACACCAATGACTGTGGCAAGCAAAGGAGTTCTTGACCTGGTGCTTGATTTTGATGTCCCCTTTGTTGGGGCTGTAGAAGGTGGGTCGGGGCTTTGTCTGGCTAGATTCTGATTTGTACTGAGTTTGAACATTTCTAGTCCGTTCAAGATTGCGTCGTTGTAATTAGTCAACCAATCCTCCTTGCTTGCTTCCAGTGCAAGAAAGAGATTGACTTTCTTTGGGATTGCAGGGTTCCCCAACATGAACACAACGTAGTCTCTGTACACTGGTCTTCCATTTCCACCGCTCCACATGATTATATCTGCCGTTTGCTCAACGGATTGATTGGAGATGTAGATATGAAATAGCCTGTCTTGGGGCATCGTAACATCACCTTCAAACTCACAAAAATGAAGCCTAACCAAGTAAGCAAACATTGAATCCACAGGGAATTCCCAGGTGAGATTGTAGCTCTTGTTTATGGTCTTGTTCATGCCCATTGAGCGGCCGGTTTGGTAAACTTCTTTCGGAGCAGAGTACTCTGGTATTCCAGAAAAGTGAAGCTGAACGCTACTGTTCTGTGGTAAAACACTAAGCTTCCTACTTAAATCGTCTAAGTAGTTGTACTCGTCTCCCAAACCATCCCAATTGCGGTACATACCAGTGTCCTGATCGGAATAGATCTGCCTTTTGTCACCGATATTGATTCGGTACACCATCTCCAGAGCAGTGTTGTTCTCGATGCGAATCGTGTTTTTGCTGCCTACATAAGCAACCCCAACTGGGCTCTGGGGTGAAGTGTAGTAAAGATATGGGGGCATGGAGATAATTTCAATCCCATTGATAAATGCGTAGGCATCTGGGCTTGCTGTGCTTGGAGTGAACGTGACATTCAAATTCTGTCCTGACTCGGTATGGAGGCAGAACTCTCTGTATATAGTATCCGAGCCAGAAGCATCAGCCGTGGCTGAAGCGTTGAAGTCGTGGAGAAGCGTAAAGCCTCCGGCTTTGACTGAGAAGAGAGCTTGGGATCGGTTGAAGTTGGGGGCGTATGAAGCTGGGTAGAAATACAAGCGGATGAACTTTGGGCCAGAAGAGAGTGGAAATGTGTAGGTAAATTCAAAGCGGGAAAGCCTAGCTGTGCCGTAAGGCACTTGGCCGGAAGAAGAAGGAAAAGGTGCTTCTTTGAATATGGATTTGTTACCAGCTGCTCCGAATGAAAAAAAAGATGTGTCATTATCTCCTTCCCAATATCGGGAATCTTGGCCGAATTTGGTACCGGAAGAGCCACATTGAAGGGTGATTTGTTCAGATGGATCGTAGATTGGCGGCGGGTCCCCAGCCATGCACATGGTTATCATGAGGAAAAAAAGGGGAAGGAGAAGAGGAGTGAGAGTTTTATTAGGGTGTTTCCTGATGGGGTTGTTCATGATTGTAAGAAAAACATGGAAAGGGTGAGGTGTTGCCTGTTTAACTAATTTTCTCACTGGAATTTGGAGTCTCTTGATGACTGCTATTAGCATTGTATGTCTGTGAATGATCACTTTAAATATCTTGCTTAGCTACAAGTCTACACAAAGTCTTTGTGCGGTGAAGACTGACTAGCTCGAAGTTTATCTTCTTGGCATAGTACGTGGTTCTCGTCAATTCAATTAGAGGATGTGGTTGGAGAAATAAAACCACCCTTCTGGAGATAAATCTCTTATTATCTACTTGTGTGTTTATTGTCACATCATCATAAAATTCTTCAGATCAGCGTTGGCCTTTGATGTAGAAAAGAGCGACTTTTACGCTAACCAAAATTGTCATTAGCATCAGCTTTATGAGCAGCTCCTCCTCTGTAAGTAAAATCGGAGCTAGAATGATGTGTTGTGGTGTATGGCACTTTGCGGACGGAGGTCAACAACATTGAAGGTGGTGCTTTGGATATGGGTGCGATACCAACTGCTTGGTGTGCTTCTAAAGGAGAAAATGTTTGAGCAAGTATCTCCATTCCAATTTCGTTTATCATAGTGATCGAATATGCTGCCGGAATAGCCACATTTTATGGTGATATCCTTCACCGGAATGTAGATCGTTGGCGAATCTCTTAAAAAAAGTTATGTTCTACCATAAAACCAATTGGCAATATGGAGAATAGCGCAACTTATTTACAAGTCCGTACATGGTGGACGTACAATAGGGGTGGCAATGGTGTGCAAACACAAGCAAGGAAAGGTAAACAAGAAGAGTCAGCCAGGGTTTGTTCAAAGTCTTTGCATGGAAAAGACTTGCGCTGAAGCATCACTTGGGCAATTTCCCTTCCTTTTCCTCTATCACATTGGATGGATGTATCTTCCAGTCATGATGTGTATACTTTTACTTAAAACTTGTGTTCTTGACTATGGGATAACAGACCCGACTTAAATATTTTGTTTGATTCCCAATAAACGACACAAGTAGCTTTGGCCGGGAGTAGTGAGGTTGAATATTCTGCAAATAAAATCGGAGCGAGACATCTGTGATGTGTGGAGCATGGAACTTTGCGGATAGAAGACGATGCCGAATGTGCTTCTTTGAATATGGATGTGATACTTGCTGCTAGAAATAGGAGGAGAGAGAATCTTACTCCTAACCGAGTACTTCAATCTTAGGAGCACAAGAATAGGAGTGATGGTCTATCAACCACAAGTAGAGATTCAATCTCTTCCATTAATATAGCATCCACCCAAAAAACGACCTTTAAGGTTTTAGCAAGTCGTTGATGTCGAACCTCTACTACACGTTGAATTAAGCATGATCATTAAATCTGCACTCGAGATATTTGTGTTTCACTCATTCTTTCTGCACACTTGAAAATTAAGCATCCTTAATGTATTGATCAAGATATTTAACTTAATTTGGAGGGGATAATATTCCTTCACGACTAATTCATTTTTATCTTCAATTTTTGCAAAATTTTAAAGATTGTTTGCTTGAAGTTCCTTAACCTAATTACTTCAAAATTCTGCATGCGTTTTTGGTCAATTACATAGATGCTTACAAAATTTGAAAGAACACAAAAAGTATGATTTTGTAATCTTTTTTCTATATGTACATGTCTCTCCTCTGAGAAGAGTAAAGCCACCGGCTTTGACTGAGAAGAGGGCTTCGGATCGGTCGAAGTTAGGGGCGTATGAAGCTGGGTAAGAATACAAGCAGACGAACTTTGGGTGAAGGTTCTAGTCGACGTGAGTTCTGGTTAAAATCATTAAACGTAGTCCTTGTTGCTAATAAACATGGACTTGGACTAACTATTAGTCCAGTCCAGTCTAGTAAAGCTTAATGAAAGTAAACAAACACACTTTTAGTGTAACGTTAATTTCGTACTATCTATATAACATGAGATGATAAAGAATTCCGTTTTTGAGAAAAAACTTCGAGGGAGAAAACAATATATCTACTTCGGATATTTTCTATTTTATAATTCCTAATTGTGTAATAATTAGTTTGACACGACGCGTGCGTAGGACACGCGTAATGGACAAGTTCTCTTTGGACACCTTGTCTGCACCTGCAACTTGGCTTCAGTGTCTCCATCCATTTCCCTCCGGACACGTTGCACTCTGACTGCATGTCAACACATGGGACTTCTCTGATTGCATAACATCCCCTACTGGAAAAAAAAAAAATAAGTGTGCAAGTTGGCCCTCTTGGAGGGGTCCACACCTGACTAGGTCACAGCCCTTTTTGCATGTCACTCTCACCTCCTCCGTGGATTCTCCTGCCTTACTCCGCCTTAATATTACGTTTTCTTTATTAATTACTTATGTGTAATGTTATTGAGATTAATTTTTTTTTAAATTAAATTTGTAAATAAAATGATATGGTTATGTATGATTAGATTATTAATTAAGTATCAATTAACATACGTATTTCACATTGGTGACATATTATTTATAAATTTGATTTAAAAATTTGACTCTAGCATTATTTATTACTTAATTAAGAAGTCAAAGTTTAGAATTTTTTTCATTTGGTTGATACTTTCGGAAAATATCCCAAAAATAAATGAAAGATAGGAAAATGGCCTGTGAACTCTAAACTTCATCTTATATCAAAGAAACTTTTAAGTTTTATGCTAAAATCGAAACATATTGTCGATATTTTTGATATATTTGTAAAATATTGAATAACCTCTTATATTTCATACAAAACCAATGCTTTGACAATTCTTACAATTTTATTCTAAATCTCCATATTCTATCAAAAACAATCAATATTGATCTGATATCAATATTCAATATTTGATATTCGATAAATATATCAATATTATGTCAATATTTTTACGAATTTACATATTGATATTTCTACCGATTCTAATATTTCAAACAGGAATTGAAGCAGGGTAATACTAAATTACTAATCCAACAAATTATCAAAGAAATACGTTTTGTTGAACTTTAACTAGCATAAAGCGAGTAGCAATGATGACCCCACTCGCGGCGACAATATTCCTTCAAGGAAACGAAATGGCCCCGACCCGACTCCCCAGGCGCATCCACGTGTTCCTCCCGCAGAGCGTACGTTTTCCCAGCTCTGGATTCCAGCTCGTTTATGCATAGATATTAACGCATCAGATCGGGGAATTGCGGCTATCTACGAAGCCGGGATATTTCCGCGCTACGTGGCGTCCTCTTACGCCTCCGCGTGTCCGTCACGACACGTGTCATATCGCACCCTACTCTAGTAAAACCCAAAGAGTAGGCGACGCAAGTTTGGTGCGACACTCAGATCTGCGTTTCTGCAAGCCACGTGGTTCTCAGGGCTCTTCATGTCCGCCACGTGTCTCCAGTCCGCGACTCTCAGGGCCTTTTTCGGTATTCCGCATTTCTGTCTCCTCCTTAAAAAAGAGATTTATTTGTACTTTTTAATTTTATCTGCGTTTTCTGTTTGTTTTCAATGAGCTTGAGAAACTGCTTCTGGCGCCGATGTTCTCTGCCTCATGGTCGTCGTCCTCTGGTGCAACTGAGATGGGATTTCTCGCCGTTTCCATGGAAAATTCGAGCCGCGAAAGTGCGGGAAAAAATGTGGGAGTTTTGTTGCAGTGTTCGGTGGAAACATGGCTGGAATCATCGTCAATGTAAACCATATGATGGCTTAAAATTTACCCAATTTCTCAGATTTTGAATTTTTCTGCTGAATTTCTACTTCCCGGTTCTGAAAAGTGCAAAAATTTCATCCGGGTAGCTCTGAATTGGACCAATTCGATTTGGGTTTCCGGCGGTTCTGCAATTTCTCAGATTTTCAAAATTTTCTGGTGAAATTATACTTCTGGGTTTTGAAATCGTGCAAAAAATTTGATCTGGGTAGCTCTGATTGAATTCGATTAATTTGATTTGGGTTCCGGCGAATTTCTGCAATTTTTATTTTCATTGGCGCAAACAGAGGAAGGCGGGAACAGAGCAACCCAGCAGGTGTTCCCAATGCAAGTGAGTACTTTTCCGGGAGATTTGTACGGAAAAATGGTTGCCAGGAACGATTTTCAGGGGAAATTAGGGGAGCCGACCGGCGAGGATTCCGAGGAGATTGAGCTGAGCCTCGGGCTGTCTCTGAACGGTCGGTTCGGGATGGACCCCGCCAGAGCCAAAACGGTGGCTCTGAAACGCTCGTCGTCAATATCTGATTTCGGTTTCACCCCAGCAAGAGAAGAAGAAACGAAGTATCGTCTGTCCGAGCCGTTGCGCGCCGTGCCTCTGATGAGGACTTGTTCGCTTCCGACGGAGACAGAGGACGAGTGGAGGAAGCGGAAGGAGCTGCAGAGCTTGAGGAGAATGGAGGCAAAGAGGAAGAGGTCAGAGAAGCAGCTGAGGAACTTGAAGGTGCCGAGAGATCGGAGCCGAGAGAACGGCGGCGATGAGGAGAAGACGGGGGAGGTGGCGAATGGGGTTCATAGGAGGGAGCAGTTTGTGAAGGTTGTGGATGAGTTTAGAGCTATGGGGATGCCCAATTGTCCGCCACCGCCGGCGACATCACAAGGAAGTGGCTCAACTGGGGTTTCGGAATCTGAGAGCCAAGCTGCTGCTACATCTCAAGGTATTCTCATTTCAAAACTTCTTTTTCCGAGTATAGCGATATTCTATTCTAAACTAATTTAAACTGCTCTAGGCAACTTAGCTATCCCAAGTCTGCATCGTTTCAATTTAATTACAATTGGTTTCAATCTTTTACGTGTTTTTCGTTGTAATTAGTTTGCTATGTGTCTTTGAATATTTTGTATCATCCAAAAGTCGGGAAATTGGAACCTTTTTACGTCGTTATATTAGATCAAATTTCAATGGTCCGGTTTCCAAACTTGGTGGTTGGTGGATTAGGAGGAAGGGATCCGGAGAGAGGATCCCTTTCCCAGACTAAAGGCCTTTAGTAAGAACTTTGTCTCTTAAAGTGTCCACGAGAAATGATATGCCATTGATTTTGTGATATGAAGAAGAAGAACATTGGTAGACAAATGATCTTGTATTTATATCATATCAATATAATAGATTCGGTTGATGTTTGTCAACCAATTGCCTCTTCTTGCCGATACCTAGGATCGCTTGAAAATTTATTTTTAGACTGGTTTGTCACAGCTCTTGTTCCCTTTTTTTTCACATTGTACATCTCGATATGCATATGCAGGAGTGCACACCAAAGCAAGAAGCCATGTCGATTCTCAATCTTCACCAAAGACAGAGGATGAACTGTTAGCCACCCCGAGAATGATATCCGCTCAAAGATCTGGCCAGTTCAATGGCGTCCAAATGGAAATCAACTGTAATAAACCCCCAGTTCCAGAAAATGGTGCCAATGAAATTGTGAGGAATGTGTTGGAGAACATGCCGTGTGTGTCTACGACGGGAGATGGCCCTGACCGGAAAAGAATAGAAGGGTTTCTTTACAGATACAAGAAGGGTGAGGAGGTGAGGATATTGTGCGTTTGCCATGGCAGCTTTCTCTCGCCTTCGGAGTTTGTGAAGCATGCCGGCGGTGGTGATGTGGCGCACCCGTTGAAGCATATAGTGGTGAACCCTAGTCCGTTTTTGTAGTTTCTAGTGCCCTTGTGGCCATGTCAAAACCTAGACGTGAGCACGAGGGAGAAAGTAGGGAAAGATGCATCAATGTTGCTTTTACTCTTTGTTTGGTTTGTTTAAATTTGGTCTTTCAGTGGGTTTGTGGGCACTTGCATTGAACTCGGTACATGAAGCTTCTTGTTGGAAGGCTCTAACATTAAAACAAAGGGCTCCCAAGAGGCATTTTACCATGTCTAACGGTATATATTTTTATTTACAAGTAGAACGTTTTAAGTTTAACTCTCATAAATATCGAGTTCAAAACTTTAATTATGTCCGGCTTTTTATGAGCTTGACCTTAATTCAATCTCGGGGCCCAAAAATTTCGACGAGCAGGATTGAAAAAGAATGTGCGAAAGTTACTTCCAAAATAGAGGGGTCCAAGGACGACTAGGAGTAACTTCTGCAAAGAATGTGTATCTTTGTTGTTTTTTGTGAGAATGATTTGACAAGGTGTTAGAACATAAATTATTATTAGGAGAGATTTTTTTCAAGTACCGGGTATTTAACCGACACTCAAGAAATCATAATATAAGTAGATAAATTATATATTTTGTCACATTATTTATTTTATGACACTTGAAGTACTCGCTTAAATAACAGATACTTAAAAAAATTTCTCCTCCAATAGAACGAGGTGATAAAAAAGCAAGGGATCTTGTTGTGTATGCGGTAAATAAAAGTACTTTTTTTTTTTAAACAAACAATATTATTTATACTGAAACTGGGAAGCAGGTTAAACCTTATAATGAACTAGCAATAATATGATTCAAATTCGTATTTGACTAGAACCGAACTTAAGACCTCTCACTTACAAGTAAAAAAGAATATGTTACCAATCATTATAGATTCCTACCAACCAGGACCCTCCCATTTGTAGAAGTGACAAACAAAGACGGCTAAAAGACCGAGAATTATCGCAATTCAAAGTGGCAGAATAATTAAGTACAGTAATACGCCTATAAAACAAGCAACAGAAGATCAGCACAGAAATTACTTTACTTTTTTTACGTTCTTTTGCTTTGACGCTATAAATATTACAGGACCACGGGGCAGAAGCAAATGCTCTTAACCTGAGGCCATACAGATTACTAATATTAACCGATCCAAGCCTCGTTGGTCAGCTAACAAGACAGAGGGCTGAAGTTGCTTACACCATGACTCAATTCGCCACTGTAGGCCTTGTCGAGAAAACTGCATCATGAGGACCTGCATACCATAACACAGCTATAATGAATTCCTTAACACGGCCATGTCGAAGAAGCATATAGCCCATGCTACAATGTCGAACCTCCTTTGGTCCCTTGGGCCTAAGTAGCAATGTTGAATATCTTTTAATGCCATGGCGAACGAAGCTGCCTCTCGTCTGTCTGGCTGGAAACAAAGGCTGAAATGGTAGGATAAGAAATATCCAAAGCAATGAGCAGGCACATATAACAAATGGAGCTCCTCTTTCTACAGACTACTAATGTTAACCACTACAAACCTTGTAAAGCAGCTAGCAAGATGGAGGCTGAAGTTGCTTAAGCCGTCGTACAACTTGCCTCATTGTAGGCCTGGTTGAGAGAGAGTCAACCGTGCACACTACTGCCAAGTGCAGAACTTCTACTAAGTCATCATGGGGACCTGCATCCCATAACCCAGCGGTGAAGAATTCCTTCGCCCGGCCTTGCCGAAGAAGCATACATGACCACTGAACGATGTTGAATCCATTTCCATAAGAAGAGAAGGAGGGATCCAGTGCCTTCTTGTCAGAGAGTAACTCCAGTAGCACAATGCCATAACTATAAACATCAGCCTTATCTGAAACACGGCAAGTCAGTGCATATTCCGGGGCAACATATCCAAACGTTCCAGCAACGCCGGTAGTAGCATGAGTCTCTGAAGTTCCCAGAAGTCTGGCCAAACCAAAGCCTGAGAGATACGCATTAAAATCATCATCCAACAAAATATTGCTCGGCTTGACGTCCCGATGAAGGACACGTGGTACGCACTGATCATGTAGGTAGGCAAGTGCACGGGCTATGTCCAAAGCAATCTTGTGAAGTACTTTCCAATCCACAGCCCTTGTAGACCTTTCCTGAATAAACTTTTCCAAATTACCACCCGCCAAATAGTTGTATATTAGAAACATCTCTGTATCACTGGCATGATAACCAAGCAAAGTGACAAGATTTGGATGGCGAAGCCTTCCAAGGGTTTTAATTTCTGCATGAAACTGTTGAACTCCTTGGAACCTTCCATCTGATAGCCGTTTAATTTCCACCACGATTCCAGGTGATATCTCTGCCTTGTAAGTAGCTCCAAAACCTCCATTCCCAATGCAGTTGCTAGCATTGAAACCTCCTGTGGCTAGCACAACATTCTCAAAGGTCAATGGAACCCCAATGTTTGTGAAAACTGTAACTTCCTTCCCGGTAGGCCCTTGAGTTCGATTCCATTTCCGTGTATATAAGAACAGAACAACAAGAGCAAGCAGCACTGAAACTATGGCCACTGCAGATGTAATGGATGCTATCTCAATTGGACTGAAACCATTCCCACTCTCCTGAGTTGGACCTCCCATTGGTGAAGCAGCAAAAGGTTGTGAATCGCCAACTCTTCCTTGAGAATCCGAAGCTGGCTGTGTCAGAGAAAACATGGTATGTCATCAGGTTATTATTCGCAGGCAGTGAACCTGATATGTTATTGAAAGACACATTGAAAGATGAAAGTATGAGAGATGGAATCTGACCAGAAATATTATTCTTGTCGAGCAGAAGAACAGCAGATTCACAAGATCTTTCGGTATCTCACCAGTGAGACAGTTTGAAGAAAGTTCAAGCAATTCTAAAGAGGCAAGCAGCCCAAACTAGACGGAATGACACCTATAAGGAGATTGCCAGATAAGGATAGATAAGTCAGATCACTTATTTGGCCCAGACCGGTTGGGATTTTTTTCACCCTGCAACATGTTCAAATCACAAGATCGTACACAATTTTCAGCATATAGCTTGATATGAAGGAAATGACTTAGCACTATAATGATTTGAAAGCATTAAAATTTAACTCACAATTCTCACAATTTCAGCTATATTATGACTATAATTCGTCAGTAGCTCGAGCCCTCGTTGCTCTTACACGAATGCTTCTTTCGAAGGCCATGGCCGCTGCAACAAATTAACAGGGCAATTTTCATTTCCCGCTACCAACTTTATGGACACAAAGATAACTGCTTTAACTAATGCTCTACTGAAAAGTCAAAACCCCAAAAACTATGAACTAAATCCAAATCGAAAAATTGGGTAAATTTAACATCACACTGTATGTACCTTCGCAGCAGAGGGAATAAAATCTTTTTGACTTTCCTTGAAATCTGCTTTTTCTTGCCCTGGAATTCAATCGAATCAGTGGAAGCTACCAGCGCGGTGTCGCTACTTGGATTTTGATCAGAGACTGCGGATTCCTCTTGAAAATTGGGGAACTCATATCGATCCTGCCGCAGAGAAAAGGGTCCTTGGAACCCAAGAGATCAAAACCCCAAAAACCCTTTCCTTTCCTTGGACTAGCACAGAAAGAGTAAAAAGGGGTTTATGGAAATCCTAACCCTAATTTTGTTGGTCCCTGTTGAGAGAGGTAGAGGGAGGTTGAGACTTGAGAGAGGTTGGGAGAGGAGAGGAGGGGAGAGAGAGAAGAATAAGTCATTCAGCTGTGTTTCTTTTGGGAAGAAACCGCTTTCTTCCCTTTCCTTTTTCTATTACATGTTTCTTCCTCCTCTACCTTGCTTTTGCCATTTTTTTTTTTTTAAGTGTTATTAGCATTCCGAAAATTTTATTCTACACTCCTTATAAATGTATTTTTCTTTCCAAATATAGAAAGTTACGAGTGTAGAATGAGAATTTTAAAGTGCTAATAACAATTTCTTTTTTTTTTTAATAAATATTTTTGGGCATGTTTGACATTCGATTTGAATTCAACATTTTAAATTCAAAAACACTTTTTAAGTTTTTAGCCTGAGGGCTCATTTGGATGTGCATTAAAATAACTAAAACCTCTTTTGGTGAAAATGTTTTTAGAACCAATCTTTTGTAAAAATGTAAGTAAATTATGGAGAATCACTTAAAGTGCTTTCTGGAAACAGCACATAACAAGTGCTTCTTATGGAAAGCACTTTAAATGCTTGTGAAACCCAAAAACATTTTCTCTAAAATCGTTTTTAGTTACTTGAAAAGTACATCTAAACGAGCCCTTAGTACGACTGTACTTAAAAAATTAAACTCAAACTATCTTAAAAAATAGTCAATTCTCCAAAGGGAAAAGAGATACTTTCCGGATCTCTTCCTCCAAAGCCTACAGATGAAGTGATCCGCCCTCTTGAAATTTGATTCAACGATGCTTGAAATCCGAACCCCTGAAAATTATAATAATTTTTGACCATTGAATCAAATTTCAAGAGCTCGAATCACTTGATCTGCAAGCTTTAGAAAAAAGTGATCCAGAGACGATCTATTTCCCTCTAAAAGTACCAAAACTGAGTTCTTAAACTTAAACTCCACTCTCTTTTTATTATCTCTCCTCGTTCTCTTTTTTTTTTCTTCTTCTTTCTCTCTCCTCCACTCCGCTTAGCTCTCTTCCTTTTCTTTCTTTTTTCTTCTTTCTCTATCCTCCTCTTCCTTCTCTCTATCTCCTTTGATCTTATCTCGTCTCTCTCATCTGATCCTCTATTTCTTTCTTTTCTCCTCTTTCCTCTTTCTCCTTTCCTGCAACTCTCTCTCTTTGGATTTCTGTGTCCAGTTTTAGTTTTAAGATATAAAACCAATTTTAAATCTCATACCAAACAAGTTTTTGAGTCTTAAAAAATTTATTTTCAAGAGTTGTTAAGAGATATTCTTGAGAAGTGTTTTTGAGAAATGATGAATTTTTCTTTTTATAGGATATCAAATAGGCTTACATTTTCATGGTTTTGTTGTATTTGGTGGTTGTTGAATTTTTTTTACTTACCACATAAGTATTGATTGATTAGTTTGAAATACTGTTGCCAAACACATTTTAGTTGTAGTAAGATGATTCTCCTTGAGAAGGCTCTTTGTGGTTAAGTGAGTGAGAATGAGGAAGGAATAAGGTATGGTTTGGCATTGAGGTGCTTAAAAAAAAAAAAAAAAAAGCTTGCTTATTTTCAAAGTTTTTATATTGAAGGTGTTTGGTAAACTCAAAAAAAAAAGGGATTATTTTGGAAGCTGCTGTGAGAATAAGCTAACATCATCAGAAAAGCTGAAGCAGCTAAATGTTGCTTTGGAAAATTGACTTTTTTTCAAAGCATGTGGAGCTATAGTGCTCCCTTAATGAAACTTTCTAAAGTTCAATAACACCCTCAAACCAGAAACGGTGCTCTTTTGCCGATCTCCACAAAACCTAGAAACCCACCAGAAACGGCTTTGCCGATCTGCACAAGAAATGGAAACATGAAAACCCACCAAACTACCACAGCCAAAACCGATAATCGCAAAAAAAAAAAAAAAAAAAAAAAAAAGAAGAAGCATAAAACTCTCATTTTTCCTCTGCTACTTCAAGAATCTGCAAACAAAAAGAACAACAACAATTCAATTTCTCCTTCTTCAAAGTTTACAACTTTGAATTTGTTTCAAATCAGAAAAAAAGAAAACGAGGAGGAGTGGAAGAGATAACCTTGAGTCACTGCCTGCGGAGGAAGAGAGGCTAGACTGGAAACAGCTAGAAGAAGAGGATTGAGTCGCTACCTTCGTTATCCATCTTCAATTTCTCCTTCTTCAAAGTTTACAACTTGGAGACAGCTAGAAGCAAAGCGAGGCTGGACTTGAGTCGCTGCCTTCATTATCCATCGTCCGCAGAGGATTGGAGTGGCAAAGCGAAGCGGTCTTGCTCCTATGGTAGTTGCTATGTCGGCTAGATGAAGAAGAAGGAGGAAAATAAAAAAGATGAAGAAGAAGCAAAGAAAAAAAAAGTAAAGACAGAAAATTGGGGAGTGGGGGAGAGTTGGGAGACTTCTACATATATTATTAACAAATGAAGATGGATAAAAGAAAGATAGGAGACTTCTAGAGAGACTATTAATAAATAGAAAACATATATTATTAATAAATGAAGATGGATAAAAGAAAGATAGGGTTGGTTTATTATTTTACATTTAATAATATACTCATTTTATATCATTTTTGGTCATTTCACAGAATTGCAGATGTTTTACATAAAAGTTTATCAAACACTATCATATTGCTTTTTTTTCCAAAAGCACTTTTACAAAAAAAAAGTTTACCAAACACTCTGCTGCTTTATTTCACAACTGCTTATTCTCATAGCACACAGTAGAAACAATTTTTTTAAAAGCACAACAATACCAAACCAATCCTAAGAAAAAAAAGAATTCCTCAAGGCTGAATACCTCTGCACAAGTGGCTAAAGAACAAGGAACCCACGTGGAATGCCCTCCCAGAAGGGAGGAGTGGGGCCCACAAAACCTTTAGATGGGATGTTGGGGATATACTCTAGTGTTGACGAGGTCCAGACAGGCAAAGGAGGGAGGGCCAATGTGTCTGTACAAGAGAAAAATCCCAAAAGAACACGAAGGCTGGGGAAGCGCATGTGTTCCGTCCACCGATCCCTTATTTTGTAGTTAAGATCGATTCTGCTTAGCAAGAGGCTTGTAACGTAAGTAATTGAGAATCAATATTCCGGCATTGGTGATCAGTGTTTTAAAGACGATTGCATGCTCATGTATCTTATAAATATCGCAAGCGAATGATCATGATACTGCAAGTGTCCATGTCTTTATGTTGCTTTTGAATTTCGTTTTTGTTCAAAGAACTGAAGATATTGAAGCATGTGTGATTTGTTCCTCGATCCTCGGATAGGTCAATGACTGAACATTTCTGCGCATCATAAAACAGATATGAATAACTTGACGACGCTAAACAGTTTCTATAATTTCCAGAAAACATATCAACTCTATGTTTTATTGCACAAATGAAGCTGAATATACACGTATAAGACGACGAAATGGAATATCCGCATTCTTCTGCAGATTCGTTGGCCAGGCCCCTATTCGGAGAAGCGACACTGAAAAAAATTGGGGGCACAACTATCATACAATGTACAAGTTGGATCACTAAGGTTTAGAAATCAACCTAGCACCAGTGTCACCAAAGCGCACCGAATGCGCAGGCACATATGACAAATGGAGCTCCTCTTTCTACAGACTACTAATGTTAACCACTACAAACCTTGTAAAGCAGCTAGCAAGATGGAGGCTGAAGTTGCTTAAGCCGTCGTACAACTTGCCTCATTGTAGGCCTGGTTGAGAGAGAGTCAACCGTGCACACTACTGCCAAGTGCAGAACTTCTACTAAGTCATCATGGGGACCTGCATCCCATAACCCAGCGGTGAAGAACTCCTTTGCCCGGCCTTGCCGAAGAAGCATACATGACCACTGAACGATGTTGAATCCATTTCCGTACGAAGAGAAGGAGGGATCCAGTGCCTTCTTGTCAGAGAGTAACTCCAGTAGCACAACGCCATAACTATATACATCAGCCTTATCTGAAACACGGCAAGTCATTGCATATTCCGGGGCAACATATCCAAACGTTCCAGCAACGCCGGTAGTAGCATGAGTCTCTGAAGTTCCCAGAAGTCTGGCCAAACCAAAGTCTGAGAGATACGCATTAAAATCATCATCCAACAAAATATTGCTTGGCTTGACGTCCCGGTGAAGGACACGTGGTACGCACTGATCATGTAGGTAGGCAAGTGCACGGGCTATGTCCAAAGCAATCTTGTGAAGCACCCTCCAATCCACAGCCCTTGTAGACCTTTCCTGAATAAACTTTTCCAAATTACCACCCGCCAAATAGTTGTATATTAGAAACATCTCTGTATCACTGGCGTGATAACCAAGCAAAGTGACAAGATTTGGATGGCGAAGCCTTCCAAGGGTTTTAATTTCTGCATGAAACTGTTGAACTCCTTGGAACCTTCCAACTGAAAGCCGTTTAATTGCCACCACGATTCCAGGTGATATCTCTGCCTTGTAGGTAGCTCCAAAACCTCCATTCCCGATGCAGTTGCTAGCATTGAAACTTCCTGTGCCTTGCACAACATTCTCAAAGGTCAACGGAACCCCAATGTTTGTGAAAACTGTAACTTCCTTCCGGGTAGACACTTGTGTTCCAGACTTTGGATTCCATTTCCGTGTATACAAGAACAGAACAACAAGAGCAAGCAGCACTGAAACTATGGCCGATGCAGATGTAATGGATGCTATCTCAATCGGACTGAAACCATTCCCACTCTTCAGAGCTGGACCTCCCACTGGTGAAGCAGCAAGAGGTTGTGAATCGCCAACTCTTCCTTGGGAATCCAAAGCTGGCTGTGTCTGAGACAACATGGGACAAGATTGTAGATTTGGGTTTCCAATAGCAGCATTGCATTTCATCAGGTTATTATTCGCAGGCAGTGAACCTGATATGTTATTGAAAGACACATTGAAAGATGACAGTGTGGTCATATTTGCCAATCCAGATGGAATCTGACCAGAAATATTATTCTTGTCCAGCAGAAGAACAGTCAGGTTTCGCAGATTCACAAGATCTTTTGGTATCTCGCCAGTGAGATAGTTTGAAGATAGTTCAAGCACTTCTAAAGAGGAAAGCTGCCCCAAACTAGACGGAATGACACCTGTAAGGAGATTGCCTGATAAGGATAGATACGTCAGATCAGTTATCTGGCCAAGACTGGTTGGTATTTCACCCTTCAACATGTTCCAACTCAAATTAAGGGAGACAAGAGACAAGTTCCCAATGGTAGGGGGAATAGGACCAATCATCTGATTCCGAGATGCATCTAAAACTTTAAGAGATTTGCACATAGTGCCAACTTCAGCAGGAATTTGACCTTCTAACTTGTTGTGGCTAACATTAACAATCAGCCACTCCAATCCCTCACACTTGCCAAATAAGTTACCTGGAAATTCTCCAGAAAGCTTGTTTTCTCCAGCAAAGAATGCATAAAAAGTTTGCTTCCCAAGTCTTTCAGGTGCAATAGGCAGTGTCTGCAAAGTGCCAGTAAAATTATTGTGCGCAAAGTTGTGTACTACCATAAGACCGTCATCCTCTCTGTGCATTTGGAATGGATTTCCAACTTGGGATTTAGAAGCGAAAAATGCTACATAGTGTGAGGACGGATCCTCATACTTGAAAGAAAAATCTCTCAAAGGAGAACCACAAGTTTTGTTGAAATATTCAGGTATTGAACCTGACAAGATGTTTCCGCTGATATCAAACATATCCATACAAGGAACATGAAGACCCTGAAAAAGCTCCCCACTAAGCCTGTTAGAGCTCACATCAAGATATTGAAGGTTCCTGCAGCGACTAAGTCCGCTAGGAATTTCCCCAGTCAAAAAGTTCTGAGCCAAATTGATCATCTCTAAGTATTCACAACCACCCCAATTGCTTGGGATAGTGCCCTCAATACTTGCCCTTGGTGCCCACAAGATCCTTAGCTTTGGAAGGGTTGTAATTTCTACAGGCATTGTACCTTGAAAGTAATTGAAGTCGTCACTCATAGCATTCAACTGCTCCAGCAAAGAGTCCACTACAGTATCATTGACTCGTGGAAGTGGATTAAACATAGATGACAGCACAAGGGCAGATAACTGAGAACAATTCCCCAGCTCGCGTGGTAATGAACTACTCAGGCTATTCCTCGACACATCCAACACTTCCAGAGCTTGAAGCCGTCCGAGTTCAGCTGGAATACCCTCTTCAAACATATTTGAATACAGCAACAACGTCCTCAACTGGCTGCAATTTCCCAAACTGCTTGGAATTTTATGAACCAAGAAATTACCCGCCAAATCAAGATGCTCAAGCTTCCCACACTTGGCTCCAATCTCGCTGGGAACATCTCCACTAAGTGAATTGTATGACAAGTACACCGCCTTTAACCTACCAATGAAACCTGGAATTGTCCCGTTTACAAGATTCCCAGCTAAATTCAAGATCTCTAGGCTCATATAATTTGACCACAAGGTCGGTATCTCACCTTCAATCCTATTAAACCCCAGATTAAGAACCCTCAAATTTGGATTAAGCCGAAAGGGCAGCGACCCAGTTATCGAGTTTCCCTCAAGATCAAGAACCTCCAAATTTTCCAAGCCCAAAACTTCACTAGGAATTTCACCCTCAAAACCATTGAAGGGGAGGGACAAAACCCTAAGCTCAGTGAGCTTACCAATTACAGACGGGAGCTTCCCAACCAATCTTCCTCTGCTACCCTCACAGCTTCTCCTGATTCCAAATCCATAAAGCGGCAACTGAGCAAAATCTGAGCACGCAATAGTTTTCGATCTACCTTCGGTTTCTCCTCCATTCCCAGTAATGTTGAGTGAAACCACCCGAGAATTTGAGTTGCAGAAGACGCCAGGCCATGAGCAATGACCAGAATTGAGCCGACCATTCCAGCCAGAAAGCAAGCCCGACGGATCCAAGACAGAGTTTTTTAGTTCAAGAAGAAGCGATGCGTCAGTATCAGCGAGAACAGCACAGTTCTGAGAAGTAAAGAACACCCACAAGAGCAAAACAAGCTTCAGAACAAACACTGGAGAAGTGGGTCTGCGAAAAACATGTCCTTTGACGACCGAAGAGGAAGACAGAGAAAAACCCATCTCTCAAAAACTCTCAGTTAAGCGGTTCACTGCAAAAATTACAAAATCACACACAATTTCAGCTTGAAATTAAGGAAATGACTCAACACTATAAAGATTCGAAAGCATTGAAATTTAACTCACAGTTCTTACAATTTCAGCTAGATTATGACTATAATTCGTCAGTAGCTCGACCGCTTCTTGCTGTTACACGAATGCCGTCTTTTGGAGGCCATGGCGGCTGCAACAAATTAACAGGGCAATTTTCATTTCCCACTACCAACTGTACGGACACAAAACAACTGCTTTAACTAATGCTCTACTGAAACAGTCAAACCTCCCAAAACTATGAACTAAATCCAAACCGAAAAATTTTGGTAAATTTAACATCAGACTATATGTACCTCGCAGCAGTGGGAGTAAAATTCTTTGACCTTCCTTTGAAATCTGCTTTTTTTTCTTGCACTGGAATTCAAATCGAATCAGTGGAAGCTACCGGCGCGGTGCCGCTACTCGGATTTTGCTCAGAGACTGCGTGTTCCTCTTGAAAATTGGGGAATTCATGTCGATCCTGCCGC